GCAGGTAAGGAGGTCCCGCTGGTTGCCTGGGGACCAATCTGGTAATCAAGAAAACTAAGAGGGAATGAGTCAACGACGGTGTCATAAACAGCTAACATTGTTAAAAGGCAAGCGCTAGAAGGCGCAGTCTGCTTGAAGACATGCGGTGATGCTTCTTCTATGTGACACATTGGCACCTCCATGGCCATGTGGCTTGAAGGCAGACTTCACGATGAAAAGGTAGCCGATCGGAAATTAAGTTAGAGGCGGTCAGCGATGCACGAATGAAGAAAACCAAGAAAAATGGCTCAGCACTCGATATGGGACCCCTTCCTTGCCCTTTGACGTGCGCATCGATTCAGGTCTCATCGGTTTTGCCTTTTTCAAGGTTAACTCACACTCTCTACCGAATGCCTAGAAGCTCTGACACGAGGTGGCGCGAGAGGGGCGGACGAGTCACTAGCTCTTTAAATGGGTGGCGGAAAGGCTATGATAGATCGCAGGGGCATCCTTCGATTTGAATTTTGTGTCAGTGTATGGAGTCATGTAGATCAGTACCCTTGAGTCTGCGAGAATCATAATTTGTTCTGTCAATATTGAACGTTACCACTTTCTTGCGCAGTACACTGGACCAATGTTATTGACTCCGTTCTGCACATGAAAATGGTGAGGTAGCTCGTAACTGCTTCGAACAACACGGCTTTTTTGGTGTTAAAGGGAAGGGCTGAGTTGCAGTGGACGATGATATTTCAGTTGCTAAGATTTCGATATCAACTAGTCCTATAAATGTCTTGAATTGTGAGTGTTCAGGAAGGCGTGCCAATTCGCCGCTTTCCTTGGGCGAATTTATGTGCTCAAACTACAGATTCAGAAATTTATGTGTCCATCTCGTATGTGTATGTGGAGTGTGTAGAGCCACAATGAAGCAGTTAGTGAATTATCGACGGTAAGCTGTTAAGCAAGTGCAAGGATACACTGAAGGAGTTGCACAAGGATCAGGTTCAAGGACCAACAAAGGCATTCTCACTACTTACCTTGGAACCTTCTGGATCTTCTGCACGTAAGCCATCCGTGGAAACTTTTTTCGGTGTCTATTATCTATTTGTTCATCGAAGCACTCAGCGGCACCAGCCTGGGCTTACCGTAAATGTCTTTCGACGAATCATTAATATACAAACGTCTCGAAAGGTAGTGTAATGCAGACAGTCCTAGAGTCCCTTACCGAGCCCTATGTCAGTCTCAATTCGTATGGCTCGTCTATCGTACAGATCATGGTGTTACTTGACGGGTGTCTCAAATGTAAAACATTCAGGTGGGCAAGAAGATTGCGAGCATCTCCATAGCAAAAGAAAAAAGCCTTTTATAGAGCAGACCTTTGCAATATGCCAATCTCTTATGTCGACTTCTGCAGACAGTTGCGTAGCAGTGACCTCTGTGCCCTCGCAGCTAATTAAGACTGCTTTGCACATTAGTTGGAAGCACGCTTAATAAAGTGCGAAGAATGTGATCCTCATCCCCATTTCCCCTCCCGACGTCAGGTGATACAGGTCGTACAGCGAGGTAGAAAATAACTGCTCGTAAGGCCATCGGTGCACCATTGACATTAGTGGAAATTGTTCCACAAGGGCGGTGAGCTCCGAGGATGCTCCCGCTCATGGCAACAATTTATCGGTACCCTGTCGTGTGGTGTACCTCCAAGCATCAGCAATTTCGTTCATATAGTCTGCAAATTCTGCTGAGGGAGAAAGTGAACAGTTGCGAAAGATGAAAATCAGATAATTCAACCGCGCAACCCTAGCGCTCAGAACGTAGCAAATTGCTTGACTGTTTCAGAAATGTTAGACCTGCCTTTTGACGTTCCATTGCGACGGAGGGTGACCTCATCTGAAAAGGTTAGCACGCCTCATCAATGGCTGGCCATTTCTGCTGGACACGTTGAAAAGTTGGATATGTTAAGCATACGCTGATCTTTTTTGATATTACATGAGCATTAAAGATTTATTAAAAATTCAATAGTTATCGGGACTGTCATGCTGCGACAACGTTGACAACAAGATTGCCAGTCGGTTGCAGTTGAGCAAATGCAGTTTGAGCATCGGTGGCATCTGCTGGAGCAACAGCGTACTGGACTACCAGCTTATCTTCTTTTGGAGCTCCATTCAATCGAATTACTTCGATTTGTGTGTTTCCAGAGGCGTCGATAAATCCGAATACTGGACTCACACGGTATGCATTATTGTTTGAGCACCGGATCTTGAATATTAACTTCTTATCGCCTCGATTGTTTATTTGTTGCATCCACTTTCCACCACTAGCAGCAACTTTTGCTTGTGCAGGATCAACGGTCACAGAAGTGGGTGGTACAATGTCTGAATTTGTTTGTGTTTGCTTCACACTTGCTAACTTTCCTTTGCCCTCACTTTGACCCTTTACTGATTTCTTACTGCCTTCCTTGTTCTTATTTTTGTCCTTCTGCAAAACAAAACTCTTACATTCTACGAACTGGAGTACTAAAAAAGGAAAGCATCCTCGTACTCTAAGAATATCGATATCAAAATGCAATTGTTGGAGAAAGTTGGAAAACCCCTTTGTAAAAGCGGGGATAGGGTTGAAAACGTCTTTAAAACCCAAAACGATAGAACCTTAAGTACGCTCATTCATTAAAACATCCCTTTACACACTATAGGCCGCTTTTCTGCCATCTGGATCACATATGTTTGGCAATCCACCGAATTACTTGACAGTTCGATACGAGTACGCTACTTATTCTATATGTTCGCAGCGTTTTTGCCTCTACCGTCATCCACTATTTACGGTTCGCTGCATCGGGAAGAGTTGCCTTCGACTTTGAAAAATTCATCCTGTTTATTCACATGCCCTCTTTCTAGTGTCCAGTCCGAAACAAAATGTCCATGTTGCTAAAATTAGCAATCCGGAGGGAGTCACGTGTTGAAGTAATTCGGGCCAGTGCGACCCATACCTTCCCTATGCCCCACGGCTAATACGAATCCCTCCTTCTCCCCCTCCGCAACCTCTTTCCCAGTTTGAAACGATCGACTGTGTCAGCAATGTCGTTGATTCCGGTATTGCACGAAAAACAATTCCACCTTCAAAACTTTTCCAAAACTGGAGTCGAGCGGTAGGGAAAACAGCTATTATATTCCCCAACTATCTGATAGGCGTTATTCTTCGCACATCACTGAACTAGTAACGAGGATGATATCGTATTTTTCATCTGCTTCCAGGAAGTCGGCCATCCTTCAGCATCAATAATTTCCAGTGGTGACGAATGATTGAAGCGATCAGACCAAAAAGATATGGTTGGCCCTACTAAACACCACATTTTATATTAGGCGTTCACATCAGAAGCACCGCCATCAAAGAGATCGAATTGTGAATCGTCATTTATTCTTATTCTTTCTTCTTTCCTCCTTACTCCGCTGTTACTGCATAATCTGGTTATCATAAGTATTTCAATGACCATCGATCTGCTTTGCGCAACATTTGACGAAGATGATCGCGAAATCGGGATTTTAAGAGCGAAATGTCCTTCACATGTAAGATATTGAAGGAGACGGGTTGTCGACCAGTACTCATAAGTACCCTGTGAATAGGTGGAAAATAGCCAAAGAAGAATAAGAAGCTGTGGTTTCAGCGCTGGGGAATATACAATAGCCTTCGTGAACGATTCCTTCAACATTGTCGGCGCGAACTGAGAAACCAAGAATAAACGTGTTCGCTACCGTGGTCGATTTCATTATTTACCAATAGTTACCTACCGTACGTACCTTACCCTTGCACGAATGCGTCACAGTTTCTTTTATTGCAACAAAGTGAACTCAGCGCTCCAGTAGACGGACTCAGAGGCTATCCTAGCGAACTATCCTTGCCCGTTTACGCTAATGATGGCAAGTACACTGTGAGAAGCCCGACTAATTGTCATGAAGGAGTTGTACAAATTTGGTCACGAAAATGTACCAATTGCATAAAAAAATAAGGAGAGAACAAAACTTTCAAATGAACCTTATCTTTATCCGAATCCCAATCGCTCTCAACATCATTGAATGTTGGGTAGTCTCCTTTATTTCGTACTTCTTTTCCTTGAGCAATTCGTTCCTCAAAAGAAGATATTCGCTAGTAGCACAGTTATAGGGAAAAAGCTTCGGAATGGAATAAGTTAGGAATGAGTTGAGCTGTACTAGAAAGAACTTTCTTTTAACGTTTTGAGTGAAAGAAAGTGTGTGTCATGGGTTCAAAGGCCTTGAGACTGCGTAACAGAATGTCCTACTTCCAGTCTAGGAAAGAACCATTTTTCTAGGAGTCCTAAAATCAGTCGGCTCTTTAGTGATGCTCGAAAGTAAGAAGGTTTTTGTGCTCACAACCACGAACATACACCTACATTCAACCACTCCTTTCGATTTGGGCTGCAAAGTAGTCGGTTCATTGCCGAGATTGCCTCCTTGTCTTTTGAAATTATGGCATAAAAACCATTCGCACTGTCCCATCAAAGCTTTCACAAATGGAGAATACCAATAAGCACTAAGCTCAACCGTCCCCACGGCCGCTCCAGAGGGTGTCGTATTTAGCTACGGGAAGGGGTAGGGGGTCGTAAATTCACTTGTCAGCGCTGAAATCGTAGCACTATGTATCTACATTTCTCATAAACGGAGGCGGAAACACGAAAGGAGTAGAGCCTTGCTTACTCTCTTTCAGGCTTCAACAATAACATATCGAGGGTCAAAGTTGCCGGAGTTAACAAACCATAGCATGGTGGAAAATATTTTCAAATGCTCTTGCCACTACGAGGCCAGCCGTGTGGCGCATCTTATTGATAGAGCAATTGTTACTAACGCTTAATGCTAAAGGGGCAAAGAAGTGCACTGATGGGGAAGTATTCGCTTCTCGAGACTCAAAAAGGTTCACAGAAGATTTTCAAGTAAATCATTCTGCAAAATACTTCGTGGACCTATAGCGAAGAAATTGTTGCCACCGAAGCCTTTCCTCTCCTCTATTAAGTATAGCAGTCGTTCGTTCCAATTATTAATGGTTGGAATTGAAAACTGTCAGAAAAGTTCTCAGAAACCTACGCTGTGCACATCCGTATCTAACGCAGATTGATTTCAAACGAAGATATAGACCAATGTCCAACGGTGCACACATTGATTAACTGTCATTTTAGCTCTCCGCGGTAAACTTAGAATTTTCCCTAATTTGAAATCCGGATAAGCTATGCTTGAAACATGTCATTCAAAAATGCAAGTAACTCCACTGATGCGGCGCATCGTCGTTGTGTGGTGTATGTAGAGGACACCAATTGAAGCCACCCATTCCAGGCACTTAACACGTTGACGACAGGCACGCGCATGCGCGTCAGAACTTTTGCACCGCATCGGACATTCTGACGCAAATGACTATAATCAAACGTAGCTATTAAACTACAATTCATTTTTATTGTGCTTGCACTCCTTCTTTTCGAGTTTTTTGTATTCATTCTATAGATAATACATTAACAGAACTATAAACCACATGGCAGCCAGAGTGGTCAAATATCCCTTGATGTAGCTAAAGACTTTCTGAACGTCCAAACCTTCGCTCCAATTTTTTCCTGGTATTCCTTTCACTGAAGTAAACATTCATATGGAAGGTTGCAGAAGCAGTTAGTACAATACTCTATGAGTTTCGAGATATTTGCATGTGATGAAAGAACTTAGTTATAAATGCTTCTAACTTCATTCGCAGCGAAAGTGAGTTTGTTGCGTCTTCGTGGTCATGGTGCTTTCTTCTAAATGAAAATCTACCGCTGTTTATATGAATGATTTTTTAAATCCTTGCCGAAATAGTTCCATTAGATTCAAGTTATTTTGCATTTTAAGCAAAAAATAAGCGGAACTAAGGTGGGAACGGCGCGCTCGCAGAATCGCTCCTGTCCCACGCGGTGCAAAATGCCAAAACACGCGATGTCGTCAACCTGTTAATAGTTTGTTAGGTATGTAACCGCTAGTGAAATGTATGGAATGCGCACTTCGTTTGCTTGCATCAGCGCTTTTCGGCCAACCTGTAGCAATCAATTTTGTACACATAAACTTATTTGTCATAGAACATCATGCTTTGAGCTTTAGTTCGCCACTAGGATTTGAGCCCCGGACAGACTTGGGCAATTCTTTTACTAATTGTATTTTGCCACTACTGAAGCCTTTTGGTCTACCGTAACAGAGAGAGACCTCCTGCTAGCGATACCTTTTGATGCACTCATTGTAATGTTACTGATGTATATACTACCAGTTTAGCTCCGCCCGCTACCGCGCGCATTGATGGAACCGACAATCGATGGAGCTTTGGGTTTCACCGCTAAATTATAGCTGCTTCGTTAAATGTATTACTGTTCGTTGCATAGCCTCCCCATCTTGGCTGTATCTCACTGTTTGATGAGCGCAGTGAAGTGCACAGCTGAAGTGATGATGTAAACAACCACTATGCGTCGAGTAATGAGGTAATTTAGCGGTCGAATATCTCAGAACGGAATGCACAGTATTCATTATCAAATTTATTCCAGCGTCCCATTCATCCTCAAGAACTCTAGAAGGTGTAGCTGTCGAAAGGTGTTTGAGTTTACAAATACAACGCTGATGAAATGATATTGAAATGAAACGCATTATCTACAATCTGCTCTCTACTTTCTATTTCAAGTGCTCTCTACGTTCGTATGCATATCGTTACTATCAGTCCTCATCAGTCATTATCACTTTTTGACCCCCACCAAATATGCTTGCATCCCACCCCCGATATCATGTCCCAAAATCAGCTCCTGACGACTGCTGCGAAGCACACCATGAATTTCGTGAAATTTGTATTTCAGCGCCTTATATCTACTCTTATCAGTCGTTATCACTTTGTGACCCCCACCAAATATGTTCCTGTCCCACCCCTTATATCATGTCCCAAACCCACCTCCTGACGCCCACTGGTGCCCGAGCTATGAATTTCGCGACACTCGCGTTCTAGCGCCTTTTATCAGCCCTTATCAGTTGCTATCACTTTCTGAACCCCACCAAATATGTTCCCTTCCCACCCCTTATATCATGTCCCAAAATCAACTCCTGACGACCACTGGTTCCCGAGCTATGAATTTCCGGTCAGACAGACAAACACATACACACACGCGCACAGCCGCTTAGCCGATTATATATAGTAGGATTATATGGTTATCGAAAAGCACCAGTAGCCTCAATTTATGATGCAGGTGTAGAAGTGAGAAACGAGATAAAATGGTAATTGATTGAAAGAAAGGAAGAAGAAAGGTTATGATAAGAGATTTATGGGGAGGGGCGGGGGTGTGGTGCAAAAAATGACTTTTGAACATGTCACACTTTCTTTCGTCGCAGAGATTATCAAAAAATGTTTCTTCAAACGTCTTTCTATTAGCTGGAGCAAGCCGTCCGTCCTTCCTTCACCTTATAATAACACAGCCGTCCTTATAATAGAAACACGACATGATCTGCCATCGTAGTTGAGCTCAAGGAGAAATACCGTAACTGCCCCGGTCTGAAGTTCTTACGTAATTTCTTTAATCGATTCACTGTGCAATAGTTTCCTAGAGACATCTGCTTTTACCACGCACACCACCTAAAACCCCGCTTCTCCAGAAAACGTCATGACTACACGATCCTTCGAGTACCCCTTCGAGCTCGACTAGTGCACCATACTTCCGGGGCAAACTATTCTGATGCCGTTCACGTAGAAGGCCAAAATGAAGCTTCTCATGAAATGGAATGTGCCGCTCAATTCCGAGTTGGGAGCACTCGTTTTAAATTAGCAAGTGGTTAAACCCCTTCGAATGTGGAAACAAAAGTGATTTTCATTGACTCCTCCCCACACCTAGAAGTCGTAGTCATGTTACGTACTCTTAACGAGAAGTATTCCTCCTCAACTATCTCTCATCTTTCTTCATAGATAGGAACATGAAATAGTCTAAAAGAGTAGCAGCTCGCTTACATTTTGAATACTTTACTTTTCAGCTTTCAAAGGTTCAGGAACTCACTTCCTTTTCGTTCCGCTTAATTTGCTTGGGTTTAAGCTCGACTTTCTTCTTTTCCTCCTTCTTCTCCTCTTCTTTCTCAGCTTTGTTTTCCTTCACTTCATCTTTAGAATTTTCATTATGGTCAGTTTTTTTGCCGTCATCCTTTGCTTCTGCTGGATTCGGCTCCTCTTTTTTCTCTACTTTTTCCTGAAGTCTTGTTAAGAGGATATTTGCTATCTATTACAGCATACCACATGGAAAAACTGTTGCGTACCGTGTGACGTACGGCAACCAGGATTGAATCATTTCAAGGCACTATGTATGTCAAAGTTTAGGGAGGACTGAACAGGTGCAGTGAAAATTGCTTCCGTCTACTATATGTTCGATCTGGGGATCAAATCTTGGTCGCGCCATAGGCCAGCCGAGCCCTCGATAGTTCCGGAGGCAGTAGACTTGTTTGGCTTGTATGTCGGCTGGTCACCCCTTGTTTTCCCCCCAGTCATTTTACGGATGGAATCGCATTCAAAAATACCTCTTATACAGTGAGTGGAAGCGCAGTATCCCGGAGGAGATGCATCGAATATTTTAGCCTTCATCCCTTTACTATGCATAAATAGCTGGCTATCTGACTGATTCGGTATAAACCCCGCTGTGTGCGACAAACTTTGTTGTGCGCACAAATTACTGCTCACATTTTTATTCAAATGACAAAATTTTTCAAAAGTTAACAACTTTCTTTTGAACCGTTTGGTTTAGTGCCCTCTTTACCACAGCTGTCTACAAGTGTCTTCTATCTATACGCGAGTGAATGGATACCTCTCACAAAACTACGCAACCTCCGACGTCAAGAATCAGTGGATTTCTGTTTAGAGGTGGTCGCCATCATCGTAGATTTTCTCGTTAGGGAAACGAGCAAGCAAGCGAAGCAACTGGTGATTGGTTGTCATACCTCCGGGGATTAAAAGAAGTGGGGGAGAGTCATGAGACCAATTCTGTATAGTATTCTGTCATTCCTTCGTTTCGTGTGGGTTGCGAGCTGCCGCACAGAGGAACAATTTCATGTGCAGGAAACCTCAACTATGCAATATCCGGACCACGTGTACACGCTGTGAGCAGTAGGTATCTTTGGCGGCAGTGGTGGTATTGTTCGAAGTCTGTGATGAAGCAATCCTACAATCGGAGAACGGAACTCCGGGTGAAGTTCACCTATTAGGGTCCGTAGTTGCTTGTGAGCTGCACGTTCCCACTGATGCCTCCATAGCCTGCTTGGCTAGACCGCGCATTCCTCAGCTTCAGTGACCCCTTGTAAAGCCGATCGAAACATGGCTTTTATACAGCAAACTTCGCGAGATGTTCACTCGTGTCCTTTGAGCC